GTTGCTACTACTCCACTATGTAGCTGAGGCAGAAAAGTAGTCATAGACGATAATTAAGCAAATGAGCATGGCCATTTTCCAACAAAGCTTTATTTACAAAAACAGTCAGTAGGCAGCATTTAACCAGCCATGGGGTGCTGACCCCTGATCTAGACCAGAAGCTCACTGAGAATGCTGACCACGTCTAGCTCATCTCAAACGTCTACAGAGTATTTACCACCTTCCATGTTTGGGAAGTCAGTGATATTTTGTAAAAATAAATGAAATAAAGAATAAACAAATGTTCCCTGCCACTGCCTAAGAAATCTGTGCTTGTCTTTTAAAATCAGTCATCCGTTTTGCAGGAGATTCAATTGCGTCTCTTAGAGATTAAGCCAGCGAGCACACTCCTCCTGGGTTTGTACAATTTTGTCTGGTCTGGGCCTTCTCTTCACTGGGTTTTCAAGCTCCTTTCAGGGCTTAGCTAAAAGTCTAACTACGAGAACCCTGAGCCCAGACACCAGCCCCAACAGAGAAAGCTTTTGGACCTTCGGAAATCAGGTTCCATCAAGTCTCAGAGACAACTCCAGCTCTAACAAGTAGGAAAACCAAGGAATCGCAAATGGATATCAATGACACAATGGAATTAAACTTCCCTGGCAGCCCGAGAACTCCTGGGGCTTATCAGACCCACCTTGGGTGAGGAAGGCCAGGAAAGATTGAAGTACATTCAAGTTATAAGAAGCCATAAAGATCCAGTCTTCTGCAGTCTTTTTTCAGTTCTACAAATGACTACATGGCCTGAGGACCCCTGGCGATCAGGTCATCTCACTTGTCCGAGAACTACTGCTTTTCACGTTAATAACCTCGTCGCCAACCCCAGTCATCATAGAGTCAGGAGCAGGATGGCCTCCAACCTGCCAGTCAAGGTTTCAGGACTCCCGGCATTTTTCGGGCTCAGTTGCAGGCAGATGATGCCCTCTCTGTGCCAATAAAGCTAAACAAAAGGAAGGCCTTAGATGGCCGTCCGGGAGCCTCTTTCCTCTAGCAAGATCTGCTTTTCTTTGCTCTCTCCTCGCCTCTCCTCATAACTAGAGAGCAAAATCAGACTGCAGGGCACTAGTTCTAGCTCTGTGCCACAGAGAACAGGCGCCAACATTTATTTTAATTGGTTCTTCAATCACCGTCACTTCCCAGGCGGAGAGGGAGGCTTTTGATTCCTTACTGAAGAGTAAAGTAACCTCTTCCCCCACAGTTATAATTTTCCTAATAGCAAATCATCCTTCGTTCTGAAATTTACTTAAACAGGTCCTTTTGCAATTCCCTAGGCGACGCCTTCTGGGGTGCTCTGGGAGGCTGACGTGCTGCTTCAAAGTCATCTCGAAAAGCTGCATGATCAGGGCCTATCAGAGGAGCAGCCTCAGCCTAGGACTCAGACCTGCCATTCCTTACGAAATACCATCTCCTACGTAAGAGCGGCAGCTCGGTGTCACCAGCACAGCTTTTGTGGAGGCTGGAACCTCTTCCCTAGGAACTCGTGGGCACAGGAATTCAAGAATCTGTCTTTTGGCCTCCAACCTCCACCTGTTTACATGTGTGCCTCCTCCTCTCTGGAATATTCCCTAAACTTTTGGTCCAAGCTGAACATCTACAGCTCTCTGCTTCGAAGCCATCGCCTTGGGGAAGCCTGACTTGACAGGCAGGCTATTCCCCTGTGGGCCAGGGCACTACCTTGTGCTCTGAGAACCTGCAGTTTCCTGCTCACAGCACATGGCGTCCACCGCTGAGGACGCACGTGCAATGCCCCGTGAGGACGTGTGTCTGCCACTGAATCCCCAGCAGCTAGCCCAGTGTGGGGCAACAGTGGCGGCTGGGTAGTAATCACTGAATGAACAAATAGCCTAAAGTCACTTGGTGCTGGAGATCGCGAGGATTTGCTTGGTTTCATTTCACTATTTTTTTTTTTCCAGACTGCAGTCCCTATCTATACCTGGTTTAATCTGCAGAGATAAACATATGTAAACAATGGTAGTATCATGTGGTTAGTATGTGTATGTGCTGTTAATTGAGGGGTACATAAGATAGAATGGGAAGAGAAATGTGACTGGCTCTCTACATTCCCTTGTGTTTAAATAAAGAATTAGGATTCATAATCTGAACCAAATAACATAGTAGGGAACACTTACTAAGATAAACTCAAAAGCCTGGTTATTTCCTTCGAGACAGGCACTGCCTTTGCGGCGACCGCTCTCGCTGATGGCGATGATGACCAAGGCCCCGCGGCTGCAGCGAGCTGTGTGCGTTGCCACGTTACGGACCTCTCATCGTGCGTTTTCTAAAACGCACACGTGCAAAGGGCACCCTGCCGCTCCCCGAGCCTTCTCTCCGCACCCACCTACGCTTGTGGGACGAGATGTGGCGTGGGGAAGGGGACCAACTTCTTGAAGTGACTTGGAAGCCGTCATTAGGGAATTCAGCGAATCTTTGGGAAAGCTTCTCTCGGCAGGTCAGACTCGTCCTGGGGCCTCTGCTCGTCTCCCATGACATATGAATGGCGCGAGGACGCTAGAAATTTGCTGTGGCTCCGCCAGCCAAACATTCTCTCCTTTTGACCCAAACGCATCACTCCGGAATCCTAGGGGTGAGTTTCCGTGACGGCATGAGAAATAAGAGGGTGATCAGGAGAGTGAAATTGAAGAGGAGTGAATTTACCCAAGATGGTAAGACTCAAGACTTTTTCTCTGCAAACATACCCTCCGCCAATATTGTTCTCCAAGAAATCTGCCCACGAGATTAACAAGAAACAGAGAGGACTCTTTCATATAATTTTCCATTTTTTGAAAACATTACAGCAAATGGTATTTTAAAAGCATACACATAGAAATAAAATGATACAAGCATTTTAAAGCAAGTAGTTTTTGTTTTGTTTTTTTTTCAAAATCATCTGTTTCACATCAATATTTTTGGCGAGGAAAACAGCCAACTACTTTTATTACTTTTTCTAGGTGATCAGTTTACATTTGAAGCAAATTGATTCTCATACCATGGTACAAATAAAATTGGTGTAACAGATTTATTGAGCATCTTAACTTAGAGCTAGTGTCTCTGAGCATATGTATAATAGCTTTCTAGAGGGGGAAAAGAAATAATTGCTTACAGAGGAAAAAAAATAGATTGGGCAATTCGGCTTAAGTACCTTCAGGGTTTCCGTGACAACCACAATTAGTACCATTTAATAAAAAACAATGGATTTGCGGGCTCAGAATAGTAGTCAAATATATGTCTCCTAGTTTATTTCTACTATTAGAAATACAAAGAGATAATTGAATATGCTACCGTGACTGCTCCTGCACATGCTTTTCAGAATTTCTGATGCGGTGGGCAATCCCATCATTAGCATAAATGACATTGATTGTGTGGCCTGTGGGGAGACTAAGATAAATGCCCTCCTGCAATCCCATCTGAACACTTACCACCAACCCAAATCAATTCCCCGCTATAGGATAAATAAGAACCGACAAGTTCTTTGTCCCAAAATGGCCAAAAGACAAAAGAGATTCTCCTGCGATACCTCCATTTTGGGCTGGGCAGATCGCTCCGAATTACAGAGGTCAACTAAAGGCAAATCAATAAGCCAGAGCTTTCAGCATTTCATGATTAGACCCGTAAAAACTTTCTGATCACGCTTTTTCCTTGACTTTGCTTTTAAGAATGTGGAAATATGACCACATCAATTCTCAAGCATATAAACTTGGCTGTGATTACTGCCTGCCTTTGGCTGAATCAGCACGGAGTTAGGCTAGGAAGTAATGGGCTGTGACAGCCTCAGCCTTCACTCTATAGCACATGGTTTGTTGCAATGCCCTGCACCGCTGCAAATTCTGTACATCGGCCTTCTTTATTTATTTGTATTATTATTATTCGAGGTTTCCAGCAAGTCACACGTTAATTTGTTCCAAAAATTTTCCCCAATCATTTTATTTTTCTTTCGCTTATATACAGAGCACAGGGAAGACAGAAGCATTTATAAGCAGTTTTGGTAATAACAATAGTTACCTTGTATGGAGTCCTCAAGAGTACTCTGCAAGAATTTCTCATTTAATTCTCAAAATGATCGATCCTACGAGGAAAATTTTAGTATTACCCTCATTTTACAGCTCAAGAAACCTAACCTCAGAGCAGTGACAGCCCCAGATCACACAGCCAGCTGGCAGCCACGTACCAAATAGACGTGAAGATTTGAATCCTCGCAGCCTGGCTGGTTTTAGTAATAACACTACTCCAGTTGTTGAGGTCTGAAACAGCATGGAATTCTTGAGGCCAAACAGGTATCCTTAATGGATTGTAGTCACACAGAACTAATGTGTCTGCGGCATGTCAAAGAAACGGAAAGACAAAGCCGTGGGACCCAGATTTAAATCCCAGCTCTGCGACTCACCTGCTTGGTGACCCTGGGCAAGCTTCTGGACCTCTCTGAA